GTAATTAGTCCCTGAGTGAATAAAGTAGAATAGATGATAAGAGATTGATACTTAGAGGAGAAGCACAAAATGCTTTTTGCCAGTCATCAAAATTTAAAGGCTACAGAGGAAGGGTTCAGGATGCCTCTGACTGTTTACATACAAATTCCAACTCCGAATTTGTAATGATAGAGTTCATTAACTTGTATTTTTAAATTGTATTACAATGAAGCTTCTAACACTTTCAAAGGAGAACACAGAGGGCCAAATGCAGGAGACTTGTGAGGTCTAGCGTTAGATCCTGCGGAAAAACTGGTGGGAATTTTGGTCTCCTATCAATCTCTCCTCTTCCTTTTTCTAAAATCCCAAACAAGCTCCAGTGGTATTTAATATGGAATTAAACAGCAGATCTGAAAATATATTATTTCTGAGGACTCCAGAACATGTAATAATTTTTCCGGATTTTGTTTTCTCATTCAATTTAATATCCATTCATGAAGTTTCGGTGTTATGACTCCTGCTGCTAGAAATGAGTTTAGGCTCCCATTCATTCCTTAGTGTGGAATAGGGCTTGATTTGTAGGAGGACTATCCCAGAGAAAATGCTTCAGGTTCTAAATGTATTTCATGTGTGAGTTTTCACAAAAGGACATGAATTAGCATAAAAACTAGTTCCATGCATATTGTGGGAGCACACTTAAGTTTCGGGACTCTTCCTAAGAAGTAAATACAAGAGGACTATGTAAGACGGAAAATTCCAGGTCTTCTGAGAGGTGGTGTCACTTGTATTCTGTCACTTATCTCCCCCCTTGCTTTTAGGTCCTTGTGAAACATCCGGACCATAGTAGAGAAACCAAGGTCTGCCTCTCAAGCCAGAGATGCAAGAAATGCGGCAGCTCAGGGACCCTATTCCAAATGAGAACACAGTCGCGTTTCCCTTAAAGCAGAACTGACCAGTGAAAATCTTCATTGGCAAAACTTGCAAATTAAGACTTGATTACTCAGAATAAAGACTTGATTCTTCAGACCACAAAAGGATTCACACAGGATTCTTTGGATAGAAAACACTATCACATTGCAAATATTTTATTTCAGGGAGAAATCTGTCGTATAAATTAGTTTTTGAAAGCCAATTTCTAATTACAAAAAGAAAGGAAATTGGTTTATAAGATACTTAACAGTTTAACGTAGTAGATAATGTCACAATGATTATCAGTCTTGGACAGATATACCAATGATATAGAGCAAACACTAATGAAGAATTCTCTGGGGATGCTTTGACTAATACAGATTCCTCATGCCAAGATGCTTACAGTCAGTCTGCTAAGGAAATGGAAAGTTAACTAAGCAGTGCAAAATGTAGTGAAAGGGCTATAGCGCTAAAAGTAGAGTCGACCAGCAGAGCAATGGTCCAGGAACTACTTGGTCAGTAAATGAGAGTCCTTCAGGAAAAATATTTTTCCTTCTTTTTTTTAACCTTATATGGTTTAAATATCGGGAACGTTGATACCAAATTACGAATTGCCTCTATAGACCTAGAAACAAAATAAGCAAGTACTTTGGGGCAGTTAACAGCATACCTTTTGTGAGATTTAATGAGAAATTCTTAGAAATAGCTTAATGGGATAATGAATTCATTCATGCCAATTCAACTCTGATGACCTTTAGAGAAAAATCATATATATGGCCAAAGTATGGAAAACGTGTATATTTTCCTTCAGAAGGAAAATTGGACATATTTCTAGACTTTTGAGGAGAAAGGTACTAGGTTGGACCAGTATTTATAGAAATTATCCGGCAAATGCTTATCTGAAGACTTTACATGATCATGCTGTGATAATAGCATACAAATAAACCAGGACTTATGATCTATCCTTTGTTTCATGTTTTTTAATAGTTTGTTTTTTTCTTAACAGACTGGCATAATTTATCACAGAAGTAGAACCTAGTTCCTAAAAAATGCATTTATCAAAAAAAAAGTTTCAAAACAACTTTCTAAAAAGACTATTAATCATTTATCTTACATTTTTGTACTGTGCAAATTCCTACATCCTCCCTATTAATCTCTAGGACTATTGTTGGTTTCCCTTGCTTGTGAGACTATCTTTCATTATAGTATAAAATAATACTCCATTTCAGTTGTTTTTCTATCATTGTGTTTAGATCACTGTAACCCCGAAAGTTGCTTGTTTTCTTTTTCAACTTCCTTTTTTTTTTCCTTTAAAGTTTTTTTTTTATTTATTTCTAGGAGAGAGAGAGAAACAGCGTGAGTAGGGGAGGGTCAGAGAGAGAGGGAGTCACAGACTCTGAAACAGGCTCCAGGCTCTGAGCTGGCAGTCAGCACAGAGCCCGACGCGGGGCTCGAACCCATGAACTGCGAGATCATGACCTAAGCGAAAGTCGGACGCTCAACCGACTAAGCCACCCAGGCGCCCCTCTTTTTCAACTTCCTGGTCGGATGTAAAGGAGGATGCTAAATTCTCTTTGAAGTTGGATGAAGGGTAAAAAGAAAAAATGCCAAGATATTAGTCAAAATTCAGATGTGCTATTTTGAAATTATGTTAGCTTTCTGCCATGGTCCTTTATTGAAAGACCTATACATGTAACCAGAATGGGAGCCTATGAAAGCATAAAGTTCACAGCAGGGGAAAAGCTATCACTAATGTAAATTCTTCTGTCGCAGACCCAGCTGTAACATTCCATCGGTATTTCCAACAATTGACATTTTTAAATTTTGAACCAAATGTAACTAAATTTATAAATACTTTTAAATGATATAATGTTTAAAGTACTTTAAATAAGATAGAGGGAAAATGCTTTTTTATTAACTGTAAAGTGCTACAGATATAAAATGTCAAGTGGGAGGTGCCTGAGTGGCTCATTAGGTTAAAAGTCCGATTCAGCCTAGGTCATGATCTCACTGTTCCCAAGTTCGAGTCCAACATTGGGCTCTGTGCTGACAGCTCAGACCCTGGAGCCTGCTTCAGATTCTGTGTCTCCCTGTCTCTCTCTGCCCCCTCCTCAGTCACACTTTGTCTCTGTCCCTCTCCTCTCTCAAAATAAACATTAAAAAAATTTTTTTAAAGATGTCAAGTGGACAACAACTTGCCTGTCAGTTTAAATGCCCTAAGAAGAGGCCGATCTCCTAAAAGTGTAACATTTGTTATCTTTTAAGCAAATATCTTTTATTCTCCCATCTCATTTTGAAATAGACACGGTACCCAGTGCTCACACTATGTGTCTATTTCGGTACTAATTCCTCACTGTTTTTAATTTGGGACAGAGACTTGGGGGATGGGGAGGGGGAAAGCCTGTTTAATACAAAGTTATGGCTCAAAATATAAACACTAAAATCATCTCAGACACATTCAAACAGCAAATGTAAGGTAATAATGTTTTTTGTTTATTTTTGTTTTTGTTTGTTTTAACTTCTTTTGAGTATAGTTGACACACTGTATCTCATTAGTTACAGGTATACAACATCCTGATTCAATGTCATGATTCAAGTTCTCTATACATTATGCCATACCCTCCACGAGTATGGCTCGCATCTGTCACCATAGAGTGCTAGCACAATATCACTGACTATATTTCCTATCCTGTGCTCTTTATTCCCATGATTTAGTCATTCTGTAACTGGCAGCCCATATCTCCCACACCCCTTCACCCATTTTGCCCATCTCCCACCCCCCTTCCTTCTGGCAAGTAAGTAACCGTATTTTAAAAGCATTTAGAGATACCAAAATGGACAAGCACATATGTACAAGGCTAAGTTTAACAGTCAAGTTTATTGGCAAAAATATTGGGTATGAGTTACTATGGTAACTATTAACTGAGTTTAGTACATTTAACCTTTTAATCATAGTGTTATGTGGTTTTCTTCGGAACCATTCTTATTTATTTTTGTCCAATTAGAAAATAAAACAAGGCTGGAGGGATGCCGCATCTGTTTACTTTCTTAGCATAGATGTATGTAAACATACATATCTATATTTTCTTTCCAGAGGCTTCTATATACACATTGTATAAAAGTTGTAGTTAACATAAATAAACTCCAGAAGAGAAATTCCAATGTAACCGTTCCCCCCCCCCCCGCCCCCATGCTCATTGTCTGTGTATGTATTTGTATGTCAGTCTGTCTTTTTTTGACTCTGTGTTTCTCCCTTATTCAATATTTATAAGGACCTCTAGGGCAGATGCCTTAAAACAACTGGATGATCACCAGGAGTTAGGCTGAATGAATCGTTTGTGTCCATCTTCTCTGTCTGAGTGACCCAGGACCAGAAGAAAAAGAAAAAAGAAAAGAAAAGTTATCAGACTTTTGAAGCCACATTCAGGTTAAAGGGCACTGGCCAGCCTGGTGCATATTCTGCCTAAAGGACAAGGCTTTCATTTGATAAAGATCATTAGTCACTGAGATATATATTTTAGAGAGTTCCCAGTAGCGAATATTCTGTTGGCAGTCACTGGGGTGTACCAGATGGTTCATTAGCATAGGCTAGACAAGTCAAAGGCTTTCAGAATCATTTAGAAAATGTCAAACAGAAACAAGAACCCTGTCACTTTTTATTAGAATTAACTACATCATACCCTGGACACAGATTTCACCTTGGGTCAGAAAAATTAATACAGAATTATATGAATTGTGTAATATATTGGGTTAAGATAGGTCTTTCTCTAGGGACTCATTTGCTGGCAATATATTATGATCCCTCTACTTTAGGAATCCTCAAACCTTTCCTTTTGTAAGATATGAAAAGAGTTGACCTTGCTCAAAATCCATTGGTGTCTAACTGATTTGAGGTATAGGCAGAATTTCAACAAGAAATTCTTCTAAAGCTCTTTTGTGATCATTTTCCCAGGAAGCTTGGTGAGTGGGGCTTACTGAATATTCAGCAGCATATAAAGTATGCTTTATGTCAGGAGGAAAATACACCCATTAATTGAACACACTGTTGTAGTAAATAGGAATTAAAATTCCATTAAAATATTGTGCTTTTTTTTTTTTTTTTCTTAATCCAGATGTCAAAAATCTTGAGAACTTCCAGCTGGTAGAAGGTGTCCAGGAACAAGTCAATGCCGCCCTGCTGGACTATACAATGTGCAACTACCCTCAGCAAACAGAGAAATTTGGGCAGCTACTTCTTCGACTCCCCGAAATCCGGGCCATCAGCATGCAGGCTGAAGAATACCTCTACTATAAGCACCTGAATGGGGATGTCCCCTATAATAACCTCCTCATTGAAATGTTGCATGCAAAAAGAGCTTAGGTTACAACCCTTAGAAGCTCTGCTTTCAAAACAAAAAGAGATTGGTGGGGGGAAAAAGAAGAGCAGAAGGAAAGTAAAAAAGAAAAAAAAATACTCTGAACTGCTCCAAGCAACTAATTAAAAACTTGGTTTAAAGATATTGAATTTAAAAAGGCATAATAATCAAATACTTAATAGCAAATAAATGATGTATCAGGGTATTTGTATCGCAAACTGTGAATCAAAGGCTTCACATCCCCAAAGGATTCCATATAAGAGACGTTATAATGTAGTGGATTGAACTCACGGATGGATACCAACACCATATCAGAATAAAAATGGACAGAACAATTCTTGTATATTTAAACTGATCTCCGCTGTGAAGAAATTGAGGAACTGATCTGTGTTATTAATTAGGCTTATACAGCAGGGGATTTGAGCTTACAGAATTCCTCCATGGTAAAGCTGAACTAAAACAACTCAAAAATCCATCAGCTGCACCTGTCATAGCCCTTCCTTCTTCCTTCCAAGGACCCAGCACCTTCTATCCTGTGATCACAGAATCTGTCCCTATGAACTTGTGCTCAGCCACACCCACTAGTAGCTCCACCAAATCATGAAAAGCCTAATTTCGAATGTCTGTGTCTTAGACCTGCAAACAGCTAATAAGAACAGTCTATTAATATGTTAGCTTGCCATTTTAAATATGTTCTGGTTTGTTTTGTCGTGTTCATAATGAAAAAAAAAGCAGGCAGTATCCCTCTTCTGATCATAATTATATAAGCATTAATTAATATTAAGGGAAAGGACTACAAATGTTTAAAGCAAATGTTCCATAGTTAAAGCAAGCTAGCCCTTATTTCTGCTACTGTTACTGAACCGTGGCTTTGGCATTGTCGGATTTCATAACAATTTCTCGCCGAAGGGCTTCTTAGGGTACATCCATCTTTTTAGCCATCAAAGTTTGTCATTCATTTAAAACTAAAACCTGAAGCGTATTTTGCTGGGATGTCAGATAGTCACAGCGCTAAGTAGTTTAAAATGAAACCGAAGCATGTTAAGCTATGCAAAAAGGAAGAAAAGGGTGAGCTTAATAGATGGCCTCAAGTCTCACGCTTGTTGCAGTTGAACATCCTCCAAACATAGAATGGAAACAGCGATTTTTGCATAGGGATGGAAAGATGGTAAAGTAATTCAAAATCTTCCCCAAAAGGGAAAGGAAGAGAGTGATACTGACCTTTTGAAGTCATAGACCAAAGTCTGCTATAGAACAAATATTGAAGTACAAAGAATTGCAAAACAAACTCTCCCAACGACAATAGCAGTATTATTAACATGTGATGCCACAGGTATGGAAGTCCTGCCTTATTTCACAATTCTGAAAGGTAGCTGTGCAGATGTGGATCAACATTTGTTTAAAATAAAGTATTAATACTTTAAAGTCAAATAAGATAGTGTTTACATTCTTTAGGTCCTGTGGGGGGGAGGGAGGGAACTGTGATATCACAAAATAGCTAAAGCAGTAATTTCATTAATGTTATTTTCCTGATTGGTAATTATTTTTAACAGTACTTAATTATTGTATGTCGTGAGACACTAAAATCAAAAATGGAATCTCATTTAGACTTTAATTTTGTTTTTTGAGATTATCAGCGGCACAATCACTTGTAGAAACTGTAAAAAATAAATATCTCCTAGTCCCTTAATTTTCTCATAAATGTTTCAGGCTTTTGAATAGTTTATTTATATTGTATATCATAGTTTCAACTGTAGACAATTATGATGCTAATTTATTGTTCCTTGGTTTCACCTTTGTATAAGATATAGCCAAGACTGAAGAAACCAAATATATGTGTTTACTGTAGCATGTCTTCAAGTTAGTGGAACATAGTTCAGGGACAGAGAAGGGTCTTAATGAATTAAAATCACTCACTTGGTTAAATGTCTGTAAATCTTCATAATTCTTACTGTAGTTTATTTAATATCTATTGTAAATTATGTGACTTGTAGTTTCCTCTGATTTCAAGTAAATTTAACAAGGGTGGAGTCTTACCTGGTTTCCTTTACAAGCATTGTAAGTTGTATACCAAAGATATTAGTTACTACTTCCGTGTGTACAAAAAGGATTATTTTATTATTTTTCTTAATCTCCTCTAATATTCATCCACATGAAGGGTACACATTCGCTAAGCTGAGTGTCCACAGCTCCTCATGCAAAATCTCAGTCACCTGTAATCATGGCTCAAAGGGCAATGAGAAATAGCTGATCAGAGTCAACATGCAAAGCATGAAATGGATTAGCAGCATCATTATTTTCCCAGTTAAAAACCAGATTGGCTAGAAGACATGCGGAGAGGAATGAGTGTTATTAACCATCACTGAAATGGTTCCATCATGTATACAGAACATGGGTGGTGGCAATTAGGAGATTTGTTGGATAGTTATTTGGAGGGTCTCTAACATTGCAAAAAAACCAAAATTCTGAAAGTCCATGTTTTCTTATTTTTAATAATACACTACTCCCCACTGAATATTAAACCTAAAAAATATCACATATTGGTATGTTGTTAACCTAGTAAATTACATCCTAAGTACAGTTAGAAAGACAGGCAACATGGAGAGTTACATCCACACTTCCGGTATCACCAAGAACAGAAGTTGATAAACAAGAATACACCCCAGTCAACGTCTGTGGCCCATCCAAAGTTGGCAGTGTTCATTAATGACCAATTTGTAGCCAGACATTTCCTTAGCAACTGCCTTATCAATTACAGGATTTATTAGTAAAAGCAGACTCCAATATAAACGTTTTTGGCTTAGCCTGGTTTATTATAGTTGGTCTATGTTTGTAAACAGACAATCTGTAATGTCCGAATCTTTGTATTACAGATCTTCTGCAGCTACCTTGAACCTGAATCCATGCAATGTTTAGAGTGTGAAGTCAGTTACTTGTTGACGTTTTCTTACTGTATCAGTGAAATACATATTGTCATGTCAGTTCTTGCCAGGAATTTCTCAAAAAAATGGAATTTTTTTTCAGTATTTCAATAAATATTGATATGCCCAGCCTGATAATTTTTAAAAGTTCTTATACTGTCCTCTTTCTGGTAGATACTAAAGCCTCCAGTAATTAAAATTCTTGACCAGGCATGGAATCAAAAGAATTCCACACAAATAGATACTTTCCCCTATGTAGATGTTATCTAGAGGAGTCTTGTCCTTGGTTGGATACTCAAAAGCTTTAAACTCAATCTGTGCATCCTATCTCTACACATGAAATAAAGCATTTTATATGGTTCACTGTCATAACTACTCGGCAGAAAAATCTCATAGTGTCTATATTTTTTGTCTGCCCTGTGCCATAAGATGTTTACCAAGTGCCACTTAATTCAAGTGATCTTCAGAACAGCTCTGTTTGGTATTATTATGCACCTCTTACAGCTCCTTGCACAGACTGAGAAACAAGCCAGTGAAGGAGCAGAGATTTGAACCCAGGCAGTTTGGCTCCAGGATTCATGTTCTTAAATGCTACACCATACTGTCTCTGAACCAAGGTGACACTTAGGATTTGTCCCAAAACGAAAAGATCTTAAATAAAATCAGGCATCAAATCACTGCCGAGGATACAAATCTCAATAACTGAGAAATCTAAAAGTACATTTTAACCCTGAAACATAACCTGTCTGTGTCCTAGAAATTAGTCTCTCTCCGTACCATGGAGACTTTGGAGATGTTTACAAAATCCAATTTTGAAATTAATAATTATCTCTGCTACAAAGTAATGCAAGAGCCACAAAACCGTATGCTTATGAAGCATTGTGGTCCAGGGAAAGCCACCTCCTTTTGCCCCGTCTTTATGCCTTCCCTACCCCTCCAAGATGAGCGGAGGTAACCATCTCTTCGCCAAGCAGCTACTGATTTTTCTTAAGTTCCTGCAAAAATCTACCAAGAAATCAGATTCTACACTTCGGGCCTAGTAGATTATGGAACTAAGATTTTTAAGCAACTAAATAGTGGCCTATAAAACATCTCTCTCATCAACCTCTTACCAGGAAGAACTTAATAAAAAAAAAATTCTTGCTGACATCCCATGGAAAATGAACCTGTATGTTCATATTCAACTGAATTGTAACTCACATACAGAAAAGTGTACAGCTTGATACATTCGTACATCTGTATATACCCAGGTAATCATCACATGGGTACAGCAAGGTATAGGCCATACATTTTTAAAATACGTTTTTATAAGTGGTTACACACATTTATTTTTTAATTAGGTGGAGAGGGAGTTCCTCTAGATCCCAACCCAGCAGCCAGCAGAGGTCATTCTGTTGAGAGCAGAGGCCTCACTCCCCATAGAATCACACACAGAGTTGCTAAATCCATCAGCATGATGGAGCCCCAAGAAAAAAGTGGCTCAGGCTGACGTACATTTGATTGTTATACTTGATATTCACAATAACTTTGAAGAGGTTTGTACCTTTAACTAAGTTTGACGTTCAGTTTGAAACCATCTCTGATGTATATTTTTATGAGAAACATGTGCAGAGTTTGCTCAACATAACACAGGTCAAAATGCTACAATACTTAGTGATCTTGACATTTCCCTGGAATAATAAAGACCAATTTTCCCTAACACTGAACAGGAAATGTATAGTTTAGTCACTCAAAATAAATATTCTTGCAATATTTTAACTGTTTTCATAGAGGCTTTTGTTTTAAGTTAGGAATTAATAATTCAGTGACTGATATCAGGCAGTAATTGTGGCTTGTTTGCAAAAAAACTTAAGAACCAATCTATGAAACATTGCATGTTTAATTTTTGGGAAAGGGGCAAAAGGAGGTGTAATCAGACTGATCAGAGTGTCCCCAATATGAATTTGACACTAAACAACTAAGAAGCCAATAGACTTGAGCATGCTGGACCCTTCGCATGACTCCTGAGCTGAGGCCAGTGTCTTTCAGACCCCAGGTTGGCCCAGGAGGTATTACGGGTTCCAGGCCAGATTCCCTGGGACACT